GTAGGTAACGTGTAGGTATTTATTAGGTCCAACGGAAAATTCTGTCCGTTTTTAGAATAAAATTTTCATAATTTGAATGAGTTTTATTGAATAATATAATTGCCATAATTATTTTTGACTTCTCGCCAACGTGATAACAATTTGTATGTCTCATTAAAAAGAAATGTCTTATCCCTAAAGGCAAAAAATTGAATCAGTGTTTGTTTGAACGGACAGAATTTTTCGATAAATCTAATATTTTTATTTTGTCAGGGAATAAGAAAAATTTCATTAGAAATATGAAAAATTTTACAAGAGAAACCGAGAATTAGAATATTGTCAAACGAAACGATGATGTTGGAAGATGTTACGATTATAACTACTACCAGTCGTTGTCGTTTTCGAAACAAGACAAGAGAGAAAAAGAGAAAAGGTGGAAAATGGGTGGAAAAGGGGAGGGAAGAGAGGTTACAGCGGCAGCAGCAGCTCTCTCCGGGCAATCGGCCGGAAGAGTTTCGCACGTCGCTCGCGTCAGATTCAACGCGATTATGGTAACGAGTTACGGAAAGTTCGACGCACGCGACTGTATTAAACTTAAAAGCCATCGAGCGAATGAGAAAGAGAAATTAGAGTTTTCGCTACGAGATAATTTCGAATGGAAGAACTCCTACGAAATATGGCGTAGAGAACTAAAAGTCGAAAATCAAGATCCATCCATTCACATTAAACTTTTACATTTTGTATTTTTAATCGTTTATTATCCATAAATATATATATATATATATATATTTTTAATCATAGTATATTTATTTTTTAAAGAAGATTATAATAATTCAACGTAACTCTGATCCACTTGTAAACAATTATTTTCTAGTTCATTTAAAAAAAAAAAAAAAAAAATAATATTGTAAATGAATGTCAACGTTTTTAAAGGTTTGATCTAACCGTATTGACATGTCGATCAAAAGAAAGAAAAAAATTTGTTTAAATTTGCTACAAGCGAGTTTTGTCAACAGACGTTTTGTCAAACGTTTCGAGAAGCCAACGTCATAGTCGTTTTTCCTCCAGTTTCCTCTTTTTGGTTCCCGTTTTTACAAAAGCTGAAAAATATCATCGGTGTACCAATATTCCTAGGCAAGTGGAATATTTCTGTGGTAAGAGAGAAATCGTATCATCGCTCATCCGTCCTGGCCCTGGCCTGGACCGTAGTAGTCGTGGAATGTAAAGCTTTTATCTTTTGACTGTAGAAAATTCTCTCTCTCTCTCTCTCTCTCTTTTTGGCCAGCAGCTTATTCTTACGAGCAAATAGTATCCATCTCTTCTCTTTTTCTTTTTCTTTCTTTCATGGTGTCCTCTATCTTTCTTTATTCCTTTCCTTACTTTTCTTTTCAACCCTCCCAACTATTTATCTTTTTCATTCGATTACGAAGAACCAACTCAAATTTGACTAAATATATCTTTATATCATAATCGAACCTGTATATAAAAACCTAATACGTAATATTGTATCTATCTATTCAAATAAAACAAAAAGAGACAAAGAAAATATCCGTAAATCTATTCTTTCGTAATTTCAATTACGTCAGTATCGATTTTGATAGAAATACAATCTCCAATTTATCTTGATGTTATATTCTCATATCTTTTTTTTTTTTTATAAAAACCAATACAATATCTATCAAATTTTAATAATCATTATTTCCTTACAAAACTATTAAAACTTCTAAGAATCAAATATCGTCGAAAAGAAACAAAAAGAATTGTTCTTTGCCCTCCGAAAGAATTTCAACATTTTCTTCCAATCGATGACGAAGAAGTATCGGAAAGGCATAATGTATCCTGTATCACGGTAATATGAGAATGATGAAGACGAAAAACACAAGTGGTAGGGGAAAATGGAATACAATGGAAGAAAATAAAAATGATACGTGAAAAAAGAAAGTAAAAACAAAAAAAACAATTAATTGCAGTGAGATTTACGTGAGTATCTATACTACAATGAAGAGAAAGAAAGAGAAAGAGAAAGAGAAAGAGAAAGGGAAAGGTGAACACCATTGTCAGTAAGGGGGCAGGTTGATGCATAGTTAAAGGGTTGCGTTTTGTTCACCACGAAATAAGAAAAACTGGCCTTTGCTGATAGTCTTTCATGTTATTTTTTGTTTTGTATCTATTCGTCGTTTCTTATGTCCTATTTTTTTTAATACTCTTCAAACTACCCTTTAAAACTAATCGTTTCTTATTAGATACACTTTGCGTCATTACTTCATTCGTCGTTCCTACGATACGTTACTGGTAAACTCGTCTAGGGGGTTGGTTTTGCCCTCTCTCGTGTACACGTTTCGCATGGTGCGTGCATATCGATCGTCTTGCGCTCTCGCGACGTGCGCCAGGGTGGTGAGGAAGGTGAAAAAGGGGTGAGGGTGGAAGGTTGAAGGAGGAGGATGTACCTCCAACGTCGTCGTCGTCATCGTCTTCGTCGTTGACGTGGCAGCAGCAGCAGCAACAGCAGCAGCAGGAGTCTTCGTCGTCTTTGGTTAAATGTATTACTACTATTCGAAATATTATATATTATATTTGGAAATTTCAACATTTCCGAATAAATTTATATACTCTATATATTTTGATAGAAATTTCCTATTAGTGATATTAACAGCAGAGATTTTAAAATGATTATTATGGAATAATATGATTAATATCATATATATGTTTATAAACCTTTGATAAATTCCTTAGAATAATATGTTTCGATAATAAATGATATTATAATTATACATACATATATGTATATATGAGAATACTGTTGAAAATTCATGAAAAATAATTATACATTATGATTTATAATATAATACGATCAAATAAATAAGAAAATTCGTAAGAATAACAAATCACATAATTAATTTCAATTGAATCTAATAAACAAATCATTTTCTCAGTATGTAATTAGATCATGTAACGACCTAATATACGTTTAGTGTCCTCGACGTGTGAGCATCGATCATCTTAGATATACACGCCGGTTGCTCTTGAGACGAACGATGAGCACGCTACGAATGCATCTACTACCTTGCACATCTACTATTGCACAACTGCAACTGCTGTGGGCGATGTGATTGCATTACTACTACTACTGCTACTGCTGCTTCTGCTGTTGTAGTTGCTGCTGCTGCTGTTGCTGCACGTTACGTTACGTTCCATGCGAACGTAGAAGGGCACAGATTGCATCGGATGTTTCGTGTTTGCAATGTCGGAATACGCGCCGCTCTGTTTGGCACTTTAGATTATCGAGCATAAAGGGAAGGCGAAACGTTCAATGTGTATGTGTGCATGTGTGCGTTTGTATGTGTGTGTACGCATCTGCGAGAGACGAGAGATGCAAACGTTTGCGTGCATACGCCTATATATATATATACTGACACTTTATGTATTTATATATATAAGTAGAGTATAGATGCGTAGAAGAGAGAGAGAGAGAGAGAGAGAGAGAGAGAGAGAGAAAGAGAGACTTGGCAGATTCGAGAGAGCCGATATAGGTAAGTACTTCTATGCTTCCAAGTGGAGCTCGATTCGAAGGCTCACGCTCGAGGGATGGGGTTAATGACGATCCCTCGCTTGTTCGAGGAGAACACGTCGGAATCAATCAACGTTCAATGTGATATAACGGAGAAGATATACCTATATCGATATGTTTTGAATTTATCTTTTGTAGAATTAAAATTAAAATCATTTTTCTATGTTTTATTATACAGGGGGTGATTCACCAATTCTTGCCACCTAAATAGCTCCGAAAATTAGTATTTAAATATAACATTGTATTTAAAAAAACAAAGTTGATCAATAAATCTCAAAAATGACTCAACCTAGTCACTACTGTCATATTGTAGTCCTGAATTTTTCATGCAACTTTTTTTTATCTACTTTTCTATTACTATCATACTTTCGGAACTATTTAGGTGGCAAAAGCTGGTGAATTACTCTGTATATGTATTTATATATACACACGTGGTTATTCGTTGTTTACTTTCGGGGATTTATTTGAATCTATTATTTAATGGTAAATCTGTATTTTTTTTCTATTTTTATTTTATTTTCGTTGTAAAAGATTTATAAATGAAAGAGAGAAACGGTATAAGGATGTTAATCGTTAATACGTTTTAAGTGTTCTAATTAGTGATCTTGAAAATGAGTCCTCAGACAGTTGAATAGCAGAAGGTAGGAACGTGAAAATAATTGATGGAATCTCTTGAAGGAAGGGATTATCTTTGAAATGTGGTATATGCATAGGTAAACAGTTTATTAGAACGATATTTATGAAAATATTTGAGATGAGAATTATTAACAAAAATTAAAAAGGAATTTTAAGAATTTTGTTCTAAACACTTTTCTCTTGTTAATTATTTTTCTTAAAGATACGATCAATTGAAAAAACGAGAATGAAAATTTTGATATAACTCGAAAAAGTTAGTTTTCGTAGGACTCTTTTAGTACGAGAAAAACCGATCAATGATTTTGGATGGTTGGTAGGTATTAGATAGATATAGATAGGTACTACTACTACTACTACTAGTAGTCACAAACGCGTCCGATGTCACTAGACGTCGTTCAATTCGAACATGTTCGAAATGCATCGAGTTTGAATTTAATGGTGAACGTGTCTCTATGATAAATAGTAAAAGAATAACTAATAAAATTTCCATTATACATATATTATACATATTTTCAAGAAAAATCTTTCAAACGTTCGATCAACATTAATAAATGATTATCGTCGCGAACGTCAAACGTTTTATCATATTTACAACGTTTGATAATAAAAATAATTAATACGAAATAAAAATACAAATAAAAATAATCATATCAATTCGCCTAATTAGATAAACAGGAAATATATAAAAAAAAAAAAAAATAATAAAAATAGATTATGCATAAAATGCGTAGAAAACAACAACGTGTTATCTTTTGAATGACGAATAAAGGTAATAAATATGAAATAGGTTATAACAGTTGGTTGTATATAATCTTACCGGACGTGACGTCGTGGTAAAGGCGGTGGTACAGGACTATGAAAATTATCCATCATCGAATATGCGTCGTGTTCCAGCGAGGACTTGTGATCGAGCGCCTCTAGGTGATCCAACCTGAGGAGCTCGGCCTCGCGAGGTGAATGAAGCTCACAATGTGTTGTTACGTGGAGCAACGGTCTCAGGGCAGAACCGCCTTCGCATCGTTGCTGCCGCGAAGGCGGTTTCGCCGTCGTAGTCGTAGTCGACGACACCCCTCCACCACCCCCTCCCCCTCCTCCTACAACAACACCACACGCACTGCTGGTACCACCACCACCAACAACACCATCCGTCGCAACCCGTTCTTCGGCCCAGACTTCGAATTCACCTGCTGCCGAGTAATCACCAAATCCACCGTTACCCTTCACCGTTGCACACTTTTTTAAACTTTCCTCAACGAGTCTTCTTGGGCAAGATGAAATGCCGCTCCTGTTAAATTCGTTCAATCTTTCTTTCCGTAATAATTGTTGTTGATGTTGTTGTTGTTGTTGTTGTTGATGATGAAGTTTTTCTGGGTCTATGTGTTTTTTATCTTCCTTTCGATTTCTATATTCTACGAAATATTCGCGAGATGGCAAAGAGAACGACAGGCTGCCTTTGCTATGACCTGCACCACGACGACAAGCCGTCAGATTACTCGATTTATCACTATGATTTGCATCTATCACCGTCGTTGCTGCTTTATTTAACTCTTTGATCTTCTACTTCTACTTCTACTTTTTTCTTATCTTTTTTATTATTATTTTTATGATAATCAGTCAATCGTCCTTTTTACGAATAACTCAAACGATTTTCTTTTCGAGTGATATTAACGTGTGTTTGCTGCTCGTTAACACGACGAAACTATCAGGCAAATAAGTGAGAAATACTCGTATCATACACAATGTGTGAGTGAGTGAAAGAGTGAAAGAGAGAGAGAGAGAGAGAGAGAAAGAGAGAGAGAGAGAAAGTACACAGAGTGTATATGGCGACGGACACGACGCGGAAATTCGCGTAAGCAAACTTTCCTATCGATCTGTCAACACCGAGCGAGAAAGTTCAACTCCCTGCCGCGAGCACTGGCCCTTCTTCCGTAGGGACGCTTCTTTTTTTCTCTATAACTTTAAACTGGAGAACCTTAAACTCTTCGTTTACCTCTTATTTCATTTTAATCTTTCCTTTATGTCTTATTTTTCTTCTTCTTATTATTATTTCAAATATTGTCAATAATATTATTGGTCTTTCTTGATATAATATTCCTTTATTTGATATCTTCAAAATTAACGATAAACCACGAACTTTGGTCGATGATTTTAAAAAAAAGAAAATAAGAAGAAGAGTAAAAGAAAGAAACAAAACTTCGATGCACTCGATATATATATATAGATAGATATATATCGATTCACTCTCACAGAGATTACTGTCAATCAATCAATCAATCAATCAATCAATCAATCAATCAATCAAAATCAATCACTTCGTCGTAAATCAGGATGATTCTTGAGAACAATTTCACGTATGTAAATCGATAAATGATTTAACGTATTGTAACCAAAATACGATCCAAATATATAAAAGACAATATCGATAAGATCGATCGAACGAGAGCAATAAGATCGATAGTTTGAATTTTTAAAAACACGTTTAATCGTATCCTTCGTTGTTATCCACGAAGAATTTTAAAAAGGGTTTATTTTTTTTTGTATTTTTAAACGAATAATTTTATAGTCGAATAATTCAAAGTCACGAATTATCTCGTTAAGTAACTCACTCTCATTTATCTCTTGATAATATACGTCAATCCTTTCTTTTTAGAAACGAGATAAAAAGTATGTAATCAAAAGCAGTATTTCACTCAGCATCCAACAACAATCTTGATGGACAATAAATAATAGTATATATCTCGTTATTTATTTGTAATAATATAAAAAAAGGAAAGATAATTCTTCTATTTGTTTATATCTTTATGTTATAATCTATTTCAATCTATCTAATATATTTTCTCTTCTAGATTGTCACACTTCTTCTAATCACTATCTTCTCTCGTTAAAGGGTAAAATAGTAAAAACTCGTCGAGGGTTACTCGCGCACTACCGCGACAGTTGCGGATCAAAGACTGAAGGGCCCACTGACTGCGCCGCAACGCCCGGCACCAACTGACACTGTGTATCCCCACCACCGTAGACCATTGAAGCGCGCGCGCGCCTACTTAGTACGCACGCGCAAATGACGACCCTTCTACTTGCCTACCGGATAGGATCCTACTACTACACATACTACTACCACCACTGTTTCTACCACTACTACTATTACAACCCTATAAGGGTGTATATACGATTTTCTCTATCTCTATCTACCTACCTATCTACCTATCTACCTACCTACTACCACTTCTACCCTATAGTGGAATACCTACCTACTACCCCTTCTCCTCCCTTTACCCACGGTTATGCTATCCTCGATAGAAAACGCCGACTAGTGGAGACCGCGGCAACTACAAACTCACCCCTTCCAATATCGACGTTGCCCTGTCAGACGAACACTCACACATCCTTGATTTCCCTGTTGCGCGTCGAGAAAACTCTACTGTATTTACGAGATACTCTTTTAAAAGAGCTTGTGAGTTTTCTTTTCGTTTTTTTTTGTCCTACCCCTTCTTCTTCTTGTTTTTTTTTTTATTTTTTCTTTCATTTTTTTATTTTTACTCTTTTTCTTTTTCTTTTATACCAAGCACACCCCACTTCCCACTTTCTACCTCGATTCTTTCAACCCTCTCTTTCGTTTTTTCTTGTTTCGTAATGTATTTTCTTCTTTTTTATTTATTTCTTTCTATCGTTCTATCATCGTTTATAGAAATCGTTCGTAAATCGTACGTTGTTTAAAAAGTTCATTGACTTTACATAATTTTTTATTATAATAATTGATTGACAAAATGTTAATGACTTAATTTTTTATTTTACGAAAAATATCACTCCCCGATTTCTCGTATTAAGAAGAGATTTATTTATTTCTTGTATTTAATATTTGACTATGAGATGTATTGTATTTGTTAAATGTAGTTAAAATTTTGTATCAATGATAGTTATATAATAATTGTTTTGATATTTCGTTACTGACATTATTTTTCAACGATCCTATATCTTTTTTTTCTTTTCTTTTTTTCCATTTCTATCTTTATTACACGAATAACGGTTTCTAGGAAAGAGTAAGCCCCCGTGCTCGAGTTCAATTATTTTCGTTTGAACATATACTACCCGCGTTTATCCCGTTTCGATAAAAACTTGTTGACTAGTAGAGCGGAAAAACATTTCCAAACGACTATACGTAAAACAATCGTAACTGGAACGAGGGATCTAAGCTTGATCTCGATCAAAACGGGTAGGTTTTTTTTTTCATCTTTTATTTCTTTCATTTTTTTGTTTGTTAGTTTGTTTGTTTGTCTTCTTCTCGAAGGAACCCACCACCACCACTACCACCACCACCACTACCACTACCACCGAGAAGAAGGTTTTTTATTCTTTCTTTCCTTTTTTGTTTGTTTGTTTATTTAAAACAACAACAAAGGAATCTTTGTGTATGTTGTGTTGTATAGTAGTAGTAGTAGTAGTAGTAGTAGTAGTTGTACACAACATACACAGGTTTCTTCCCTTCGTTCGATGGTTATATATTTTTCTTCGTAGAAAATATGCTTTGTACGTTAAAAGCTAAAGCTCTTTTACCCCTGTTTCTCGCGGTATTTTTCTATAAAAGTCAAAGGATATATTCTCTCGTGAAGGAGATAAACGAGCGATGGAGAAATAAAAAAAAAAAAATAAAAAGTAGGAAAAAAGAAATAAAAAAGAAAGAATGAAAGAAAGGAAAAAAAAAGAAATATCGATATAGACCAACGAAAGGACTATTATATTTCGATCTTTTATCGATCTCAAGCAGCCAGGGCAGCAACAGGTACTACGTATGTATATATATATATATATATATATATATATATATACATATTTATGTAAGTATTACGTATGCATTTAACTCTTACGATTCGTAACAGGAAAATGTAATAATTAGAAGAAGAGAGAGAAAAAAAATACAAAACGAAAGATAAATGATAACCTAATGAACTTATTAAAACTGTACTAATGTATGAATTTATATATGTATGTGTATGTGTGTGTAGGTATAAACATTAAATCGTCTGAATTCAACGATATTTTAGCAACACGTGCAAACGGATATATACCCGTTGAAAAATATATTCAAGCAACGAAGAGCTTTTCACGCAACGTATAAAGTAAAATATGTACATGTGTACGATAGATACAATATACGTCCTACGTTTGCATCTTTGAAAACACGTATAGATGCAAATTCAAGGTGAAAGATGCGATGGTAGATTACGAGAAAACACGTTTCTATTTGTAATTCTAATATATATATATATATACACACATAAACTCGAAGTGGATATGTGTGCTGATATTCGAATCTTTTCTCTACTATTTTCATGTTTTTCTTTTAATGTTTTATTATCCAATAGAAAAATACGAAATTTCAACTATATCATATTACCTTTTTTTTCTACTCATCTATATACTTTACTTTGTATTAATTTAATATAAATGTTTTACAACGATTTGTCTTTCTTTTTTGATTTAAAAACGAAAGTGTAGAGAAACATATTTTCCTTTCTTTTTTCTCCCTCTCTCTCTCTCTCTCTCTCTCTCTCTCTCTCTCTCTCTAATAGCTTTTCAAGAAGGGTAGTAGTGGTGATGGTGGTGGTCAAGGGATGGGGATAGAGAAAATGGTTGGAATTTTTGAGGAAAAAATTAGTCTGCGAGCTGGAAGCACAAGGCTTAAGCCCAAGTGTTTCGTAGAAAGAAGAACTATTTGAAAAGCGTAATGAGAGTGAGTGAGAGAGAGAAAGAGAGAGAGAGAGAGAGAGAGAGAGAGAATTTTTGTGGTCAGAGGGTAAAGCTGGTATACGACGCGTATACATTGCCTTCTTTCCAGTCGCGTCTTTTGGAGGATGGCGAGGCGACTTTTAAAAGGGGCCAAGCCGCACGTGCGTTACGTGCGAACGACATTCCACGTCACAAATGAACTTTTCTATCATCGAGTTTCCCCGTTCAGGTTAAATCGTCTAGAACACACTGTTACGAACGAAATCCTCTTCTATCTTTCTATCTCTTTCTCTTCTACGAGTAGTATTTTAAATCTAGTGGAAAATTTTCGATCATTTATACAAGGGGTGGGTTTGTTGGTTGGTTGAAAGCCTATAAGTATCTCAAATTTACATAAATATTAATGAAACGTTTATGGAATATTAAATATGTCACATTAGAGATATAATATTGACAACAACAATATATATATATATATATATATATATATATATATATATATTAACGTGTAATAGCAATTTATAGTTAAACGATTTTATCCGAATATTCTATATAACATTATCGTATATTTATCGTTAACAAATTGTAATTAAATCCTCGTACATATATTATATATATATATATATATATATATATATATGTTTAGTTTTCAATTAAGCCTAACAAATCGATAGATACCTGTTCTTTTTTTTCTTTTATGATAATCGTTAGTAATCGAAACAAGTGGTTTTGTAGAACCTCGAACTCTGCTTGTGAATTTTTGATAATATCAAGGAATTCTTTCTCTCTCTCTCTCTCTCTCTTCTCTCGTTCTTCTATCTTTTACCATCCTATTTTTTTTACATTCACGGCTCTCTCTGAAACGACCACCACGTACAGTTTAACTTATTTAACCTAATGGAATTTAAGTTTAACGCCGAAATAGATGCATTCACGACTTTTGCCTTTCCCATTCCTCTCATCCTCATGGATTTCGTGATCGTTCGTAAAAGGTTTGCGGAATCGGATAAAAGTATATCTGTTCTTTTCCGTCATGCTAAAACGTATTGAGTAAAGAAAATCTTTTTCAGATTTTCTCTATCTGATTTTAAAAATCCTTTATTTAAACATTATTATTATCAAATCATATTCTATTTTATATTTCATCCATAAATATATCGATAATAAAAATCAATTTTAACCCCTGTAATAAGATAATAATAAAATTCGATAGAAAATTGATACAAAAACTCTAAAATTATTTAAATAATAAAAGATAATATTAAAATAACATTTCTAATAATAATAATAATAATAATAATAATAATAATAATAATAATAATTAAATACGTAATTTTAATTAAAACACATGAAAATAATAAAAAGATAATATATATATATATATATATATATATCATGACTTTCGTTCGACCTTGAAGAAGCCCAACTAAACTCCATCCTCTTTTCCTAATTCACGAAAGGAAGATAGAAAGAGAGAAAGATAGAGAGCGGGTGTGAGTGAGGGTGGGTGGGTGAATRAAAGTGAAAGTGAGAGTGATAAAGAGAACGAACTCTAGAAGCAGTAAGTAAGTTTCAACGGGACGGCAGATAGCACACGTAACCAACCAACCAACCAACCAGTGCGCGTCCCTCTTATTGCCAAGAAATCATAGAAGCACTCGAAAGCCCTCTCGAAACTACCCTTCTGACGCTCGTATGCAGCCCACGAGAGCGATCGGAAGGAAGTTTAATTATATCCTCGATACGTCGGTCGCGTCTCGGCTACCGTTGATACACTTATCTACTCACCCTAACACACACACACAATCATAACTTTACTTACAACACATACAAATACAAATATACGAATTTCACAGAAAGAGAGAACAAGAGAGATAGAGAGAGAGAGAGAGAGAGAGAGAGAGAGAGAGAGAGAGAGAGAGANAGAGAGAGAGAGAGAGAGAGAGAGAGAGAGAGAGAGAGAGAGAGAGAAAGAAAGTACTTGAAAATATCCAGCTTTTATAGTTTGGTCTTCGTCTATCACTCACGAAACGAGGAGTAGGGGGTGTAAAAAAGGGTACGGAGGACGTAAGGGGCTAAGTTATTTCAATCCCCTTTTTTCCACATTTCTCTCTTTGTCTCTCTTCATCTACACAACAAGAGTAGACCCTAAAATCTCTCTTTCTTTTTCGTTTTGCCTACAAAGAACGTTTACCCTTTTAGTACCTAGTCTCGCGATGAGGTAACCAAACCCTGTGGCGGCGACGTACAACCCATTCTT